GGCGGGGCGTCGAGCTTGCAGCCCGTGACAGCATTCATCATCATCTCAACATGCTTTCCCCCCACGACTTCGGCAGCTGTACAAAACTCCAGAACTCGCAAAAGGAACTGCAAGTTCTCCGCCGTCGCCCCCTCCGCAATGTCGGCAACCATGCGTGGCGTCACCCGCCGCCCGCCGGCGGATGCCACTATCTCCACCAAGAGAGCCTTCAGCAGTGGGCCCATGCCGGCAAGATTGTGCGTTCTAGCCCATCCATTGCTGTTGGAGTATGCAGACTGTAACAGCAGAACGCCCCGCAGGTCAGGATGCGCCTTGGTGACTCTGTCCCAGTTTTGCAGTAGAGCTGTAACATGCTTGTGTTGGGACTTGCTGGTGCCGCCTTTCAGGCGTTTGGCAGACACGCCGAGACTGCTGCCTTTGCCACCAGAGTTGGTCGCTTCGTCGCGGCCCATAGGCCCCGCTAGAATGGCATTTGGGCTACCCGGAGTCGATCACGACAAACGAGAGGGAAAATGGTGGAGGTTTGAGGGAGATGAAGCCTGAAATGCATGATGGGTGGGGGATGCATGACCCCCGCCAGGAGGGGACCGGTGATCGGGAGGCCTACCTGGCAAGAGTTGCAAGGCGACAAATTGCCCAAGCTGTTCGCCACTTGACCACACTCAGAGGCACATCTGGCATGCTAGCTGAAGCATTTGAACATCATGCAGCAGCATGGCGGCGGAAGGCGGGCAGCAGCGCGCCCGGAGGGCAAGGAGTTCGCGGCGCCAGCAGCGGCCCGCGAGCGGTGGGCGGGGCCTGCCGCCGTGCCAGACCCACTGCAGCTCAAGCCCTTGAGCAATCACGCATCTCACGAGCCGCTGATGTCTGAAGGGCTCTCAAGCTGAGCCAGAGCAAGGCCACGGTTGGCAACACCCGTTGCAGGTTCTGGCCCCTGCAATGTCCTGGCTGCTGAAATTTGAATGGGAGACACCAGAGACAGTGAAGCGAAAGAAACCGACATTTCGACTCGGCATGCCGCAGCAGGGACAGGTTTGTGCGGCAAGTTGGAGTAGAAGCGCTGCAGCGCTTCTACTCCAGCACGCTGTGCCACTTGCAAAATCACTCCCTTCGACGGCAGACAGCCTCCGGCAAGCCGCTAAACACGAATGGTGCGGGCCAGTGTGGCGGGGGAGGTGGAGGGGTTGCCTCTGCTGAGCTTCGCAGACAGCTCAACCCGCCAAGCAGCTGCACCAGAGCTGGTCTGGCTAGCCCGCCGGCCTAGCGGCCACGCCCTCGCCGCCGCCGTCGCCCAGCCTGCCCGCACTACGCAACGCGCACCTCGCGTGCACGAAGGGGCCTCTGCACGTGCCCACGTGCAACAGGCTGCCTGCATGCGCGCATATACCGCGCCCACCAGCCGCTGCCAGCGATGCCTGTGCAGGAGGAGGTGGCGGCAGGCGCCCCGGCGGCCGCCGCCCGCGCCGCCCCCGGCGCCCCGCCACGGCTGCCTGAAACCAGCAAGGAGCTCCTGCGCAAGCTGGCTGAGGAGCTGCTGCTGCTCAACGGCCAGGCAGAGGCGGCAGAGGCGCGGGCAGCGGCAGCACAGCAGGCGCTCGACTCCCTGGCGACGCAGGGCGGCGCGGCGGCGCAGCTGCAGCCGGAGCGGCGGCAGGCTGTGCAGCAGGTGGAGGAGGAGCGGCGGCGCGCCGAGGCGGCGGAGCAGCGGGAGGCAGCCGCGCAGCGCCGCGCGCACGCCCTGGAGGCCCAACTGGCAGAGTGCAGCGCCCAGCTGGCGGCGCATGCGCAGGCGGCCGCCGAGCTGCGGCAGCAGCTGGGGGAGGAGCAGCGGCGGGCGCGGGAGGCGGGGCAGCAGATCAGGCACCTCGAGGCGCAGCTGGAGCAGCTACAGGAGCAGCTGCAGCAGGCACAACAGCAGCAGGCACAGCAGGCACAGCAGCAGCAGGCACAGCAGCAGGCGCAGCCGCAGCAGGCGCAGCCGCAGCAGGCACAGCAGCAGCAGGCGCAGCAGACTCGGCCGCAGCAGAGGGTGCAGGCAGCGGCGCCGCCGGCACCGGCAGCAGGCGGCCAGCGGCAGCAGGAGAGGGCGCAGCCGCAGCCGCAGCCGCAGCCGCAGCGGCAGCGGGCGGGCCTGGCGCCGGCGGCCGCCGCGCCAGCAGCAGCGGCCGGCCAGGCGGGGCGGCGGCCTGGGCTGGCTGTGGTGGAGGCAGCAGATGGCAGCCAGGGCAGCTCCATCCGACGCAGCAGCGACGATGATGAGACATTCAGCGAGCCAGCGGCGGTGGAGGGCCCACCCGCCCAGCAGCGGCCGCAGAACGGCGGCGCCGTGGCGGCCACGGCGGCAGGCGGCGCGGCGGCGGCCATGCGCCCGCCCCCGCGGCGCCTGGCCGGCCTGAAAGGGCCGCTGCCGCGCCCGCAGGCGCAGGCAGGCGGCAACGGCGGCGTGGCTGGCAAGCGGCTGGGGGAGGGTCAAGGCGCGGCGCAGGCGGCCAAGCAGCGGCGCCTCGACATCCCGCCGGCAGACAGCACCAGCCCCGGGGAATCTGCCCTGGGTGCCGCGGCTGTGGTGCGTGCCCGCCTGCCGCCTGCTGGTGCCTGCTGCCGCCCACTTTCAGTGGCCTGCGCGTGGTGTTTAGCTGGGCGCAGCGTGACTGGAGTACACAATGCATACTGCTGGCTGGCTGGCTGGCTGCGCCAGGCAGGGGTTGGGTGGCAGGCTGCCAGGCCCCTCTTCCTCCCATGCCGCTGCTGCCCTCCCCACCCGGCCTCCAGCCTCTGATGCGAATCCCCATGCATACTGGCCCGCCTGCCCGCCTGCCCGCAGCTGGATCGCGGCCTGACGCGCTCCGCCGCCCGCCCAGCCTCGGCAGCGGCCGCCAATGGCGGCGGCGCCAGCGGCGGGCGCCACCTGGCATTCAGTCCTTCACTGGATGGCGCCAGGGAGGGCCTGACCCTGCTCATGTCGCTCAAAGATGGAGCGGCGGCGGAGCAGCTGGACGGCGGGCGGCGAGGCGGGCGCCGCGCCGCCGCCGCCGCCACCACCACCACCAGCGGCAGCGGCGGCGGCAGCGTGCTGCGCGGCGGCGAGTCGGCGCAGCAGTGGCTCAACAGGTGCGTTGGTGCCAGCCCGCCCCCACACACACGATCACACACACGCGCGCGCGTGCACGCACACATGCACATACACATACACACGCACGCATGCACGAACACCACAACACACAGGCGCACATGCACACCACCAACACCCACGCAAGCTCGCCGCCATCCCCTGAGCCGCAGGGCTGCGGGTGCCTATGTCCAGTCTCTGCTGCGGGAGTCCACCTTCAAGAAGCTCTTTGGTCAGCCGGTACCACGGGATACTCCGCAGTACCACCAGATCATCGCCAACCCCATGGACCTGGGCACAATCAAGGGTGTGTGGTGCTGGCTGTGGGGCTGGGTGTGGTACTGGGTGTGGTGCCGGGCTGCTCTGCAGCTGTGTGCTGTGGTGGCATGGCTGTGAGTGGTGAGAGGGTGGGCGGCCTGCACCCCACCAGCCGCCGCTGCCGGCCACGCCGCCCAGCCAGGCTCCCGCCCGCCCGCGCCGCCGCATGCACGCTCAGTAAGCCACCCCAGCCTCCCCGCCTGCAGCCAAGGCGTCGCGCGGCGGCTACCTCACCCCTCGGCAGCTGCTGGACGACCTGCAGCTGGTGGTGGCCAACGCCAAGACCTTCAACGTGTCCCCCAAGCACCACGGTGGGTGGCGCCGGGGCGGGGGGCGGGCACGGGCACGTGTGTGTGTGTGTGTGTGTGTGTGTGTGTGTGTGTGTGTGTGTGTCTGTGTGTTTGTGTACGTATGCGTTTGTGTGTGGCTGCTGCGTGCATCATTGGGAGGGGCCTGGCTGCTGTGTGCATCATTGGCGACGCAGCGGTCGCTTGACCCACGCCCGCCGCCCCCGCCCCCCGCCTCCCGTCTTTGCAGTGCACCGTGCCGCGGACCAGCTGCTAGACCAGCTCTACAAGCCGCACAGCTTCTGCACAAAGGTGGGCTGGCGGCGGGAGGGTAGGCCCCGTCCTGCCATGCAGGCGGGCGCATTTCGGCCGCCTGAGCAGGGGCTTGAGGTCTGCAGGGCGCAGCGCAACCTCATCGCCGGGAGGGGATGCGGCGGCGCCCGCATGCGTGGGAGTTGATTTTGGCGGCATGGAGCGGCCACCAGCTGCGCCCCTTCCACCCCCATTGCCAGAGCCACACACCTGCCCTCCCCCGCACACACACCCCTGCCTGCCTGCCTGCCTGCCTGCCTGCCCGCCTGCCCGCCTGCCTGCCTGCCTGCCTGCAGGTGGAGGAGCTGTTCCAGCAGGCCGAGCTGGAGACGGTGGTGGCGCAGGAGCGGGCGGCGCAGGAGGAGGAGCTGGAGGCGATCGAGAGGCAGCTGGCGGCGTCGGTGAGGCCCCGCTTCGCCGCCCGCCCTCTCCTCTCCCGGGGATGGGGAGGGCAGCACGGGGAGGGCAGCGAGGGAGGGGCAGGGGGCCTGGTGCGGGGCCCCGGCCGCCCGCAGCGGGCACGTGGCTCCCAGGGGTGTGCCTGCGCGCCCAGCCGCTCGTTTGCCCCAAGCCAAGCGCCGCCGCTCTGCGCGTGTGCGTGCAGGTGCGGGCCGGCCTCAACGTGGCTGTGTATGGCGAGGACGACGAGCAGCGAAATTACTACTACCTCCTGCAGGTAGTGAGATGGGCTGCCTTGGGGTGGCAGTGGGTGGGTGCGCCGATGTGGCTGCCGCTGCCGCTGCTGCCGCCTGCCTGCCTGCCTGCCTGCCCGGCTGGTGTGCCCCGCTGCGTGGAGCGGCTGTGGTGTGCGCTGGCGGGCTGGGGTGCTGCTGCGCGGGCGTGTGGTGGCAGGGCGGGCAGGCGAGGTGGCGCCAGCACAAAGGGTCGACCGCAGGCAAGGCAAGCCCTGCCTCCCCTGCCTCCCACCCACCCACCGACCCTCCTCCCCGGCGCCCGCTGCGCCTGCTGCGCCTCTCCCATGCAGGCCATCAGCCCCGTGGAGACTCTGTCGCAGGACGAGTGCGACGACTTTGGGCAGGAGTACAAGCGTGGGGACACGGTGCTCAAGGGTGCGCAGCGGTCTCCCCGTCTTGGCCGACCCGCCACTCGTGTTGCTTCACTTTGGATGTTTTGGTTACGCTTGCCACTGCGCTCCCCGTTACCTTACGTCACCAAGCCCTGCTACCACCTTGGGCCGCCGCCCCTGCTTTCTTCCCGCCCCCCGCAGGCCACTACTGGGATTACTGGATGGACAGCCAGGGGCGCTGGGACCGCGCCCGCCGCCCGTACTACCTGCAGGAAAGCAAGGTGGCCTTTGTGCCCGCCTCCGCCCTGCTCCTCGTCGACATCCAGCTGGCGGCGCGGCCAGAGGTGGGGCGCCGCAGCCGCAGCCGCCTGTGCCCGCCCGCCTCCCTGCCCGCTGCCAGCACTTGGGGCTCGCCGCCCTGGCCAGCAGCCCGCGCTCAGGCCTCCACCTGTCCTTCCGCCTGAACCCCCCTGGTATGCGGCCCCCTGCCCTGCCCTGCCCTCCTCCCGCTGCATTGGCCACAGCCCGAGATCTCGCCCTTCAGTGGAGAGCTGGTCAGGGTGGTGGAGGCCTCCCAGGAGCTGCACAGCCAGCTGAGGGCGCAGATAAAGAAGATGACCGCGGAGCCTGCGGCGTGAGGTGGCGGCGGTGCCAGCCACGCCGCCAGCCCCGCGGGCCCACCGCGCGTCGCCTCACCGTGCGGTGGCGCGCCCACCTGCCCCATGCACAACCGAGCGTGTGTGTTTGACTGATAAGACAGACCCAACAGCCTCCCTCTCGCCGTGTTGATTACTCAGCAGCAGACAGCCGCCGTGTTCACTCACAGATGACCCAGCTTCAGCCGCTAGCACTGCCGCCGGCCAGGGCATTGCCCCGAGGCCACCATTTGGTTCCCAATCGCTCTGCACCTGCCTTCTTGTCAAGGTTTACAGAGATTCACAGTGGAGGAAGGAGGCAAGGAGGGCAGGCAGGTGCGGGGGAAGGGCGGAGCCAAAGCGAGCAGGAGCTGTGCTTGGTCGCCAGCCAGGCTACCAAGGCGCCGGTGGCGGGTGGCCAGGCAGCAGGCGGCGCCCGCCGAGGAGCGCGGAGGCGGCGTCCGCTGCTGCCGTCGCCGCCAGCAGCGCCGCCAGCGGCCCCCAGCGGCGCTGCGCGGCCAGCGCCGCGGCGGCCAGCCCCAGCAGCAGCGTCCAGAGCAGGGCGCGGCCCCACACCGCCAGTGCCGGCGGCAGCACGATGGCCAGTGCTATCCACAGAGCCTCACGAAGGCACCCCGCCGCCGGGGACAGCAGCGCCCACAGCAGCAGCTGCGCGCCGACGGCGGCAGCCTCCGCCAGCGGGTGCAGGGCGGCTTGCAGCAGCGGCTTGGGCGCGGCTGGGCGGCTGGGCCGCGGTGGCGGGGCGGGGCTGGCGGCTGCTGGCTGTGGCGGGCTGGGTGGCGCCTCATCGCCCTGCTGCTGCTGCCCGGGCCGCACCTGTTGCTGCGGCTCCTGCCGCTCTCCCTGCTGCTGCTGCTGCTGCTGCTGCTGCTGCGGTGTGCCTGCTGGCGGGGGCAGGGATGGGGCTGCTAGGTGAGGTGTTCCGCCGCCGCTCCCCGCTGCGACCCCCGCTGGCTGCCCTCCCTGCCGCTGGGGAGTGGCTGCAGGCTCGGGACGCTGCGCCTCCTGCAGCGGTTCGGCCCTGGTATCCACAGCACCGTTGCGCACGCCACGGTGCAGCGCGGGGCTGCCGCCGCCATGCTGCGGCGGCGGTGGAGTGGTGTCTGAGTCGGAGGCGGGGGCTGCTGCCGCGGGTGCCGTCGGCCGCTGCTCCGGTTGCCGCTGCTCCTGCTGTTGCTGTTGCTGTTTTCGCTGGCCCGCCCGCTGCTGCTGCTGCTGCTGCCCCTGCTGCTGCTTCTCCGCCAGCGCCTGCACCAGGCTGCGTGCCAGGATGCTCACGCGCAGCTGGTGCCCAAACGGCACCGCCATGTTGCACAGCGGGCATCGCCTGCGGGCCGCGATGTCCAGGTGCTCGCGGATGCACAGCAGGCAGAAGGTGTGGCCTGCAGGCGGCGGGCAGCATGGAGCCAGGAAGCAAGCATCGTGGAGCAGCCGCACACACACTCTTGAGTGTGTGGCAATGCATGGCGGCAGCGTCCGGGTGTGGCGCCGGCCGGGTGGCGGCGGCGGCAGGCGGTCCGGGTGTGGCGCAGCGGCGGGCGGGAGCGCGGCCCGCTGGTTTCTCACCACAGGGCAGGGTGCAGGGTTCCTGCAGCAGGGACAAACAGATGGAGCACTCGAGCGCCTCCAGGAACTGCTCCTCCACCAGCTGGCCCATTCGCGCCCTTGCCGTGATTCAGTTGTGGCGCTCAGAAAGGCACGATGGCCAACGGAAAGGTGCAGGCCGGGAAAAGCCCTAGTGCCTCGTGAGGGGCCTGCTGCGCCGGCGCCCGTCACTGCCGCCCCTCCCTGCCTCTTGTTTTGTTCCTGTGCGAGTTACACAGCAACGCTACCAGGAATGCAAAGAAACAGGTCACTACGAGCACGAACAAAAACGGGGAGCAGTGGGGCAGGGAAAAGAGGCAGTCCTATAAGCCTGCGGGGCTGGCGGCGGCGCCGCCGAGCGTGGCGGCGCCCGGCGCGGCCCAATCGACGTGCGCAGATGTGCTGTTCCGGCGCGCGGGCAATGGCGGGGAGGCAGCACTTCTTGGCAGCACGTGGGGCGGGCGCCGGGCGGCGGCCCGCAAGCGGCGGGGTCAGCGTCAGCCCCACCCGTCCGTGCGAGGGGCGAGGGCGGGCGAGGCTGGTGTAATGTACAGAACATGCGGAGCGACGGATAGGGCGCTGTGTTGTGCGGCAGGGGGCAGTGCATTGGTGGCCGGGCCGAGGCGCCGGGCCGCAGCCGGCACGTAGGGACCGGGTAAGAACGAGGAAGAATGGACGGAGGGATCGGGCGAGGCGAGAGCAGAACAGGCAGCGGAGGAATCGGGCGGGGGAAAACAGGCAATGCATTCGTGGCCAACCAATCGGCGAGGGTTCAGTAGGACAGATCGGAGAGCGTGCGCATGGCGGCGCCGCCGCTGCCGCCCGCGCTGCGGCTGACGGCGCTGCCGCTGCCGCCGGCGCTGCTGGACCAGAGGCCCGAGCCGCCGGCGGAGGAGCCGCCGCCGCCACCCAGCTGCACCATGTGGCCAAAGGCGGGGCTGGGCGGCTGCTGCGGGTGGAAGCTAAAGGAGGCCGAGGCGGCGGCGGCGGCGGCGGCGGCCGCCTCCTGGTGCTTCTGCTCGGCCTCAGAGGCCAGAGAGGCGGCTGCCAGCCACAGGTCCCGCTCAGGCATGGACACAGCCTTGGCCAGCGGGGAGCCGGCGCCGTGCAGGGCGCGGGTGGGGGACAGCGGGGCCGCCAGCGCCGCCGCCGCGTGGTACTGCTGCTGCTGCTGCTGCTGCTGCTGGTACTGCTGCTGCTGCTGTGAGGCGCCGCGCAGCAGGCCCTGCACCTGCAGCCAGGAGGGGAGTGGGAAGCAGCATGCGGCTGCTCAGGAAAATGCAGCACTAGGCTACGCACGGCGGGGCATCCACATGGCGTGCAGCCTGAGCTGGCCCCCACCATCACTGAGGCGCCCCAGGCGCCTGCCGGCCCTTGCCGCCAGCCCCACCTGCGGGTCCACCAGCGCTGCCTGGTAGCTCGCCATCATGTCTGACTTAGATCTGGCGGGGGATTGGTGCATGGCGGCGCGCCCGCCGCCGCCCGCCGACAGCCGCCCGTACTGCCCCCCGCCCGGCGCCGCCGCCTGCTGCGCCAGGATCTGCTGCCAGATGGCCTCGTGGGTGAGGCCGCCGCCGCCGGTACCGCCGCTGCCGCCGCCGCCGCCGCGTGCCGCGGCCGGCCCGCCGCCGCCGCCGCCGCCCTGCTGCTGGTGCATGGCGGCGAGCATGGCGTCGACGGGTGCGCTGCTGGCGGCGGCCTGCCGCCGCCGGTACTGCTGCTGCTCCTCCGAGTTTTGGGGCAGCGACAGCACGGGGCGCACGACCAGCTCGTTGTCAGCGGGCTCAGCGCACAGCATGGCCAGGTTGAACAGATAGTCCGCCAGGGCCTCATCGTCCAGGCCTGGCGCCACGGCGGGGCAGGGAGGGGCAGGGAGGGGCGGGGGGCAGGGGGCCAGGGCAGAGCGGCGCGTGTCAGCTCCAGCACACTGAGGTGGACAGGCACGCAGCGGCGACGGCAGCGGCGGCGGCCGCGGGGGCGCCAGGGGGCTCGCGGCGGCGCCAGCACGGGCCGGCTGATGCAGAAGCAGATCGGCCAGCCCGCGAGGCGGCCTCGGTCGCGACCCTCCCGCGCGCCGCATCCAGCCACACGCAGCGCAAGCAGGCTGGGCGGCGCCGCGCACGGCCCCCACACACAGGCGGGCGGCTCGGCTCACCCTCTGCGCTGGCGGCAAAGGCGTGCAGCAGCTCCGGGTAGCTGAGGTGGGCCGACTTGGCGGCGGTGGCAAACATGTCAACGGGGTCGGAGTAAGCCTGCCGCTGGTGGCAGGCAGGCCCCGCCAGCTCCGTGGCAGCCGGCGGCGGCGTGCCGCCGCGGCTGGCCACCGAGCCGGGGCCAGAGGCGGCGCCGTCGGGCGCCGCACCCGCGGCCGCGGCCTCAGGCGCCCCAGAGGCGGCCGCGGCGGCTTCGCCGCCGTCGACGGCAGCGGCGGCCGCGGCGGCGGCTGCCGCGCCCACGGGCGACGCCTCCAGCGCCAGCTGCTGCAGCCGCGCCGCCAGCGACTCCACGCGCATGCTGCCCACGCCTGGCAGCTTGGCCAGCGTGCCCAGGGCCTCTGCCCAGCCCAGCAGGAGCTGCCGCCCCAGCACCCGCAGCTGGGCCAGGCTCTCGTCGCTGGGGGGCGTGTTCACGGTCGCCTCCCCTGTGCTTTGTTCTCCGCTGCTGGCTTCGGCAGTGGGTGCCGCCTCTGGCGCCTCCCCCGAGCTGCCGGCGCTCGACTCGGCACCCTCTGGGGAGCCCTCGCCCAGGTCCTGGGCCTCCTGCGGGCCGCTCATCACGCTGGTGGGGCTGCTGTGCTTGGTGGGCGCAGCTGAAGTGCCTGCGGGGAGGCCAGGCGCGGGTTTGCCCGCGATTTCAGGGCCTTTCAGCCGGGGAGCCCCAGCACCCGGAACCCCGCTGCCCTGATCCGGCTTCGCCACGGCCCTTGTCTCACCGTCAGCCTCTTCAGCGGGAAGCATGGCTGCCCCTGTTGCACTAGCCAGTCATGTGCAGGAAGCCAAGGGGCTCTCCACCCGCCCCGCCCACTGGCTAATCCGAAGAAACAGTGCACACGAGCAGGCGGCACACGGCACGGAGGTGGTGAAGCCCCATGTACTGCAAGTGCAAAAGAGTACAACATGGCTGCCGGGCAGCCTTTCAAAATTGAGCACCTCCTGATTGACCTGACTGACGGCAGGGTGCTATGGAGACTGGCACGCGCCACGGTGCCGAGCCTGAGGCCGGTTGGTCCCCCCACACCCAGAGCAAGCTCCACAGCGAGCATGCCCTGCTGCAGCAGGCCACCGTATGGCTGCAACAAGTGCTGGGCAGCCAAATGCCCGCGGGAAAGCCGGCCAGCGAGCTGTTCAGGGACTGCAGCATCCTGTGCGCCAAACTGCCGCCGGCTGTCGCCGCCCTGCAGCCGTTGCCCCTGCGTGTCTCTCGAGAAGGGTTCTTCAGCTCTATGGCAAGCGTACATAACCCAGCTGCCTCAGCACCTGTGCATCTTTCCCACGGCTGAACGCCAGCCTGCGCCACCCCACCCGGTGCAGGGGCCGCGTGGCGGATGTGGTGCAAGCGGCGCGCCAGGGCAGGGTGCCAGCCCACCGCCCGCCGCCGCCGCCTGGCGCCAGCAGGCGCAGGGCAGACGCCATCAACGACTTTGTGCGGTGGCAGGCGGTGAGCCGCCTGTGCAGCTTTCATGGCTGGCGGGGGTGCCAGCCCCGAGCAGCGGGCATTGATGCATGCCCCCGGAGCATCCGTGGGATGGCCTGTGGGGCCCTGTGGCCCTTTGTCATCACCCCGCCCTGTCCCACGCATGCCGCCCGCTCCCTTGCAGCTGTGCACCGAGCTGGGCGTGGGCCGGGACCAGCTGCCGCTGCTGGCGGACGTGGAGCAGGGGCGGGGCGTGCCCGCCATCTGCCGTTGCCTGTGGGCCGCCGCCGACAAGTGCGGCGCGCTCGGCCTGGCGGTGAGTGGAGGGAGGGCACTGTGGTCCCACGCCGCTGCTGGGGCTGGTGGCAGTTAAACAGCTGGGTATCCCATGTGTTGAAGAGGGTCAGAATTCAGCCCTCCACCGCCCCCCTGCCCATCCCCACCTGCAGGTGCCTGCGTTTGGTGCCGACGCCCGCAGCAGCCTGCGGCGCAGCATGACGCGGGATGCCAGCGCCAAGCGGGTGGGCTGATGTGTGGCCGCTGCAGGTGGCCCCGCTGTTGAGAGGCAATGACGGCATTGTTCTGAAAACCTGGCCTGGCTTCTCTGGGTGGTGCTGCCCCAACCCCACCTTACTGGCAATGGTTGCAGGCGGAACTGTTTTCTGGCAGCGGACCCAGCCCGCCCAAGCGCCCGTCGCTGCCGCTGCTGACGCCCCGCGCGTTCCAGGGCAGGGCGGGCACCCCGGGAGGCGGCTGCACCAGCGCCGCGCTGCGCGACAGCAACAGCGGCCTGCCTGCCTGGCGGCAGGGCGGCCAGAAGGCCGGCACGCCGCAGCAGCAGGCACAGCAGCCCGGCTTGGCGGCGGAAGCGGGGCACCAGGGCAATGACAGCAGCCTGGGGCGCAGGCTGGCAGCCATGGAGCGAGCAGCTGCGCAGGCTGCCAGGCTGCGCACCAGCCCCGACGCTGTTGCCAGCCGCAGCAGCCCACCGCAGCCGCAGCAGCAGGTGCAGCAGCGGCGCCGCCCGGTGCTGCCCACCCTAGACCTGCAGGCCGCCGCCGCCGCCGCTGCAGAAGAGGCTGCAGAGGAGGAGGAGGAGGAGGCTGCCTTTGCGGCGGCCCAGGCTGCCAGCCCGTTGAGCTCTCCTGCCAGCAGCCCCGCCGCCAGCCCTGGCGCCGCGTATTACAGCAGCAGCAGCTACTTCAGCAGCAGCGTTGCCACCAGCAGCCCCGATCCCAGCCCCAGCCGCTACCGTCTGACCCCCAACACCCTGAAGACCGCGGCACAGGGCAACCCGCTGTGGAGCACCTCGCCCCCTCGCTCACTCACACCCATCCCCATGCCCGCTTTTGAGGAGGAGGAGGCACAAGAGGAGGAGAACCTGCGCCAGCCAGAGGCAGTCTCCCCGCCCCTGCAGCCTGTTGCTGCACCGCCGGCATTGGCAGCAGCGCTCGAGCCGCAGCATGGCCCCCGGCGCTCCGAGCCTGCCGCCGCCGAGGGCCCGCCGCAGCCGGAGATGCTGCAACCCCGCCGATCTGCTGTTGAGAGGGAGGAGGAGGAAGGCGAGGTGGCGTACAGCCGGTGCGGCGGCGACCTGCTGGAGAGCCTGCTCAGCCCGCCGCACCTCAAGCCCGCCCACTCCCAGCTGCTGGGTGCACTCATGCACACCTCTGGCGGCGGCGCGGCTGCCGCAGCCGCGGCGGCTGAGCAGCGGCGGCGCATGGAGGAGCAGCGCGCGGCAGAGGAGCAGGAGCAGGAGCGGCTGGCAGCGGCTGCCGCTCTTGCTGCTGCCCCAGCTGTGAGCCAGGTTGAGGAGGCTGAGGTTGATCCATCAGCGGCGGAGGCGCCGGCGCCAGACACCGAGCCCCTGCCGGCCAGCCAGCCCGTGTGCACCGCAGCATCTGCTGCGACGCAGAGCGAGGTCAGCAGCAGGGCTGCTGGCGGCGGCGGCGGCGTGCGAAAGCTGGCTCTGGTGCTGCTGGGAGCGGTGGCAGGTGCAGCCGCAGCGGTGGCGGCCGGAGCGTCGCACCAGCAGCAGCAGCGGGGGAGGCGCTCTGGGTCCCGCCCGCAGCGGGTGCCCACCCTCGGCGGCATGCGAGCTGCGCCTGCAGGGCAGCAGCCGGTGCCTCGCCGGGATGGCCGCGCCCGCAGCAGCGGTGCGGTGGTGGTGGCCTGGGACAGCCCTGACGTGCTGACTCAGGGGTGAGCTCTGAGCTGCTGCGGCCGAGGATCAGCCGCAGATACTGCCGCCCTGAAGCGCCGCCCAGACGTTCCACCATGGTGGGCCGCACGCGCCACGCCTTCGCCTCCCAATCGACCTCCTCATGTATGAGAGAAACATAGAGATTTTTGCTTCTTGTGTGATGTAGCGTAGAGACCCCTGCATGTAGATTTTCGGCCCTGCTGGTATTGGCAGAGCTCCCTGTGCACACACCTCTCTCTACCTCTTGCATGCCTACATGTCCATTATCGTGCTTCGCCCCCTTTCATGCATATGCCCGCCTAGACCTTAAATACCTCGATTCTTAACGATTGGCAGTGACGAGGAGCGCTGGCTGCTGCTGGTTGGCCCTTGTGGCAGGCGGCGGTCAACACGCTGCGCCCTGCTGGCACCCAACCTTCGGGGCAGTGTCCAGGTGCCGCCGCATTCAGCCAGCCAGAAACGATCAAGCACGCTGCCTCCCCTGCATATGGAGCTGTAGCATGCTTTCACCGCAGGCCGTCCCTACTACTCTTGTCTGCGCGAGGTGGGGCTCCTGCAGGAGCGTGCTCCTTCGCTGCCTCGCCCTGATCAACCTCTTCAGCTCGTTTGTCACTGCGGCCGTGGCGGCGGACCCACACAGCCTGTTCCTTGGCCTCTACCCGCCCCGCAGGCCTGGCCGCCCCGCCGACTGTGTGATGCCAGCGGGAAGCCTGGGAGCTTCCCTGTTCTCCCGCGCCCTTTCGGCAGCCTCCACCCGCGCCGCAGCCGCATCCACGGCCAAGAGCAGCAGCGCCGCGGCTCGCCCGCCAGCACCGCACTCGTGCACCTCGGCCTGGGGCTCCGCCGCCGCCTCGCGCCGCCGCGCCGCCGCCGCCACCTGCCCCGCCGCGGCCATGAGCAGCAGCAGCAGCAGCGGAGGGGCCGCCGCGGCAGCAGCCACGGAAGCGGCGGCCACGGCGCCGGGCAACACCTCCATCATCATTGACGACCCTCCGCCCGCCAACGGCGGCGCCGGCGCCGGCGCCACCTCAGCGGCAGCCACCGCCAGCCTGCGCTCCCTGGAGGACCTGCAGTTTGACAACACCTTCACCGCGCAGCTGCCGGCAGACGACTCGGAGATCAACGTGCCGCGCCAGGCAAGCGGCGGCGCGCCGCCGTCTGCCGCCGCCCGCCTGCCTGCCTGCCTGCCTGCCTGGCTACCTGCCGGGCTACCTGCCTGCCTGCCTGCCGCCAGGTCCGGCTTCTTGCCACCCTTCCCAGCCCTCCCTAGCTCTTATTCCCCCGCCCGTCGACTGACCCCCACAGCCCCCGCCCTGCACACGCGCCGTGCAGGTCAGCTCTGCGCTGTACAGCTGGGTGGCGCCCACCCCCACCGGCACCGAGCCTACCACCATCGCCGCCAGCGCCGCCGTGGGGCGCCTGGTGGGGCTGGACCCGGCAGAGGCGCTGCGCCCAGAGTTTGCCCTCATCTTCAGCGGTGGGTGGGTGGGTGGGTGGCGGGTGGCCTGGGTGGTGGGGTGGGCCGATGGGTGGCTAGGTGGCAGAGTGGCTTCGCCAGCCTGGCTGTGGGCTGCCTGTTGGCCGTGGCAGCGCCGACTGCCGGCCAGCTCCCACCAGCCCAGCAGCCGAGCCCCGCCTCCTGCTGTCCGCTGCCCGCTGCCGCAGGCAACGCGCCGCTGCCCCAGACGCGCTCCTATGCACAGTGCTACGGCGGGCACCAGTTTGGGCACTGGGCGGGGCAGCTGGGGGACGGGCGGGCCATCTGCCTGGGACAGTCGGTGAATGGCGAGGGGGAGCGGTGGGAGCTGCAGCTCAAGGTGGGGCGCTAGTGTGTGTGTGTGGTATGGTGGTGGTGGCGGCATGGCGTGGCGTGGCGGAGGGGTTGGGTTCAGCACCTGGCTCTGCATGTGCCTCGATGCAATCGGCTGCCTGCCCCGCGCTGCGCCCCTGGCTTGCCACAGCGGTTTGTCGCCTGTGTGCAGGGCGCGGGGCGCACGCCTTACTCCCGCATGGCCGACGGCCGCGCCGTGCTGCGGTCCTCCATCCGTGAATACCTGGCCTCCGGTGGGTGGCTGCTTGGGTGGTTGTGGGGGGTAGGGTGGGGGCTGGCCTCCTGATTCCTACCGTGACCGGTCCATTTGCCGTCCGTGCAGAGGCGATGCATGCGCTTGGGGTGCCCACCACGCGCGCCCTGTCGCTGGTGGCTACCGGGGACCAGGTGGGTAGCAGTCGGGCGGGCAGGCGCTGCACCGGCCTGCTCGGCATGGCGGTTAAAAACTCTCTGATTTGGTTTGCATGTGGTCAGCGTATCAATGAAAAATCGACCCCTGGATTGCAGGTGATGAGAGACATGTTTTACAACGGGAATGCGCGGCTGGAGCCTGGCGCGGTGGTGTGCCGCGTGAGCAAGAGCTTCGTGCGCTTTGGCTCCTTCCAGCTGCCCGTCACCAGGTGTGGTGAAGTGGGGGTGGGGGGGCGGCCGCCTGCCGAGCCTGCTGCAACGCGGGCCGGGCCGATTTCCAGGGCTGGCGCTGCCATGCCTGCCGCCACGCGCAGCACACACCGATCACGGCCACGCCTCCTGGCATTCCTGTGCAGGGGCAAGGACGAGATGGGCATGGTGGGGCTGCTGGCCGACTACGTCATCCGCCACCACTACCCGCACCTGCAGGGTGAGCCGCGGGAAGGGTGGGCAGGTGGTGGGGCGCTGGTCCTCGCCACCTCATCCCACCGCCGCCCCTGCTGCCTGCTTGCTCGCATCTCCCTCGCTCACGCCACCTGCCCCTCCTCCCATCCGTCACCGCACACACACACATTCACACTCATGCACACACTCCTCGGCCCTGCAGGCGGCCCCGGCAACAAGTATGCCGCCTTCCTGGCTGAGGTGGCGCAGCGCACAGCGCGCCTGGTGGCGGAGTGGCACCGCGTGGGCTTTGTGCACGGCGTGCTCAACACAGACAACATGAGCATACTGGGGGAGACGATCGGTGGGTTGGGGAGAGGGGGTGGAGGCAGCAGATGGTGTGCTGGGGAGTGCATCGGCGGGGTGCCACAACCAGCAACGGGGCGCCACAACCAGCAACGTGCTCTAGTGTCGCCACCCCGCCCGCAGACTATGGTCCCTACGGTTTCCTGGAGCGCTTTGATCCCGATTTCACGGTGGGTTCCATCTGAGCCTGGGTTGCCTTGCTTTCTTTTTGCTCCTTCTTTCTTGCTCCTTCTTTCTTGCCCACTGGAGCTGCCGTGTCTTGCTTCCTCGGCCCAACGACCCCCTGCCCGCCTGCCCACGCCTGCCCGCCCTGCAGCCCAACACCACCGACCTCCCCGGCAGGCGCTACTG